GAAAAAAAAGACGTTTAAGTGCGCCTTATAGTCGTGAAAATACGGTAGCTACTATTCTTATAATTGCTTTCGTGTTGACATTGGCATTGTAACCAGCAGTAGATGTTATTTTTTTTTGGGACATGTCAAAATGTATAAAACAATTATTTACATGTTATTGTTTTTCAGTAAAATGTTCAATTCCCGGCCTGGGGTCTTTCTGCATGGGCTTTGTATGTTCTCCCTCTGCATGCGTGGGTTTTTTCAAGGTACTTCTTCCACAGTAAAAACATTGGGATATCTAAATTGTCCTTCGGTTTTAGTGTGTGGGTGTGCACTGTTGCATGTCTCTGTGTGTCTCTGTGTTACCCTGCATCAGACTGGCGACATGTCCAGGGTTTACCCATCCTTTCGCCCATTGATTTTAAAAAAATTGCAGCTATGACCTTTAATAATTCCCAGACATATGTAGGAATTGTAGTAAACAGTGGACTTTCTCTTCGACTACAAGGTGTTTGGAGGGTGCACAACATGTTTCTTTTACATACAATCCAGACTCTTAGGGTCAGTAAAATATTTTGATGGCATAACATTTATAAAAAATATACATGCAAAGATACAATTTGGATTATGCTGCATAAGCTGCTTTGGAGAGATTTGATAGACACAAATAATAAACAAAACATCAGCCTTATCAGTATATTAATGATCAAAAACACTGTTCTTTTTGCAGGATTGGGAAAGAAAGCACAAACAAGTTGTGGCTGTGTACCGCTCCCATTTACTAGCAGCTGTACAGGTCAGTTGAGAACACACATGTGTACACACAAGATACAATAAAAGATGGCTCACTCTTATATTTTAAGTTGGGCAGATCTGGTTTTCCTCTTTGATATGAGTAATGGTTGCATCACATTTATTCTTTGTTGGATTGATAAATAATAATTCAATGTTTATATAGAAAACCCTAAGAACAAGGATTGTTGACTTACAATTTGAAAAAAAAAAAACTTTTTAAAATGAAAGAAATAAAATGACAGGCTCAAGAGACCAATTTATTGTTTTGATTAGTGTGTTACCATTTATGCTTAAAAGATTAGTAAACCACTCCCTGGTCTTCTCTCAAAATGACCTGAGTTGATTTAGTTTTTTAGTTTTTAACTGACATATAATATGTCGATGTACCGCCATGCTTGAACAGCAGTATCCTAAATAATACATTTAGAAATCAACAGGGCAGGGCACCTACATTTTCATAATTTAATGTTGCTCATAATATAGGCTATAACATACAGTAGAGGTTAAAAAAGCACAATATCTTCAGCTAAGAGTGAGATATTAACACTTTACTTTAGGTAACTGAATCAGAGATTTGTATACATTATAACGTTTCCCTTGTTATGGGCATTGCCACTGTACTGAACAGGGTCGCATGGATGAAGAGGTGCAACGTCTCCTGCTTCAAATCCTGAAGATGACACAGCAGGAACACTGAAGTCTCTGCACATCCCTACAACACATCTGCAGCGCCATTGCTTTAATCCATAGAATCAAGATAACAGAAACCTCAATCACAAAGCCAAACACAGCCAATCTGTGGTTGGACATTGCTGCATGTGTATAATATAAAACCTAAACCTAAAAGATTTAATGCCTGCATGAAAAGCAAATGTCAAGGGAATTAAAAGGGTTGCCTTTTTTTATCTGTATGATTTGATGATAGAAGAAATGTAGATACAGAGTGGGTATTTTGATCATGATTGTGTGACAAGATTTTACACAAAGTTGTTATAATTAAAAAGGAAAACAAATGCTCTGCTTGTAATATTTTTTATTAAAAAATCATTTATTTTCTTAAGGCTCTAGAATATCAGCCAACAGCAGTCATGTATGTTAACTCTGTAAAAGCTCCTTAAAGCTGACGAGAAGATGAAGCTTAATGCGGGGTAATTCTGGATGACAACCTGTCCTGCAAAAGGCCTCCAAATGTAGTAGAGATCTAACTTCCATCCAACAACCCTAGTATAGTTCAGATCAAACCACATTCTTATGTAAGAATAACCCTCTCAAATGCTGTCAGACTTAAATCCCACTGAGGATCAGTGGCTTTAACAGCTAAAAACTGCTGCTCACAGACAGCTTTCATTCAGTCCATCGGAGCTTACCCATTTTGCATAAAACTTGCCAAAATGTTTATATCTACGCAGGTATAAGTGGCAGAGAATATCTCTACAGTCCAACTGTAGTTAGAGCAAAGTGTGGTTGTTTTTAATATTCAGCGGGAGAGCTGAATACATTCATGTATATATGCTTAACAAAAGTTTTTGATTTTTAAATGTAAAAAAAACAGAGACAATCATGTCACACTTTGTGCTCTTTCTTCACCCAAAAACAAATCACAACCAACTATTTTGATTGGATATAAAAAAAAAATCTTTTAAATTATAAGGATAAACTTACATAAAGAAATGAAAACAATCAAATAATAAAAAAACAAAACATTAAAAAGGTACATTTTTTTTAAGTCAGGGAAGTGGAATTTATCAGTAATCCCATTGTTAAGCTTTGCAAAATGGCATTTTATCTACATAAGGTCAGGGCATTCACATTGTGTTGCTGTGATTTTTGAAAGTATTTAGCCCATTGAACTTGTCAACTTTTTTGCCACTTTTTAGGCTTCAAATATAAAGATATAAAATTGTACTTTTTTGTGAAGAATCAACAAGTGGGACACAATCATAAAATAGAACGAAATGCATTGGATATTGTAAACTTTTTGTACAAATAAAAAACTGAAAAATTTGGTATGCAAAATTATTCAGCCCCCTTGAGTTAATACTTTATAGCGCCACCGTTTGCTGCAACTACAGCTGCAAGTCGCTTGGGTTATGTCTCTATTAGTTCTTCACATAAAAAGACTGACTTTTTCCCATTCTTCCTTGCAAGACAGCTTGTATGGAGAGCGTTTGTGAAACGTATTTTGCAGTTCTTGCCACAGATTCTCGATTAGATTCAGGTCTGGACTTTAAATTGGCCATTCTAACACCGGGGTATGTTTATTTGTGAGTCATTCTATTGTAGATTTGTCTTTATGTTTCAAAATATTGGCTGGTTGAAAGATAAATCTCCATCCCAGTGTCAGGTGTCAGGTTTTCTTCCAGCATAGTCCAGTATTTGGCTCCATCCATCTTCCCATCAAATTTAACCATCTTCTCTGTCCCTGAAGAAAAGAAGGCCCAAACCATGATTCTGCCACCACCATGTTTGACAGTTGGGTTGTTGTGCGTTCAGGGTTATGAGCTGTAGATCTCTGCAGTTTATTCAGAGTGATCATGGGCCTCTTGGCGGTATTTCTGATCAGTCTCCTTCCATTTCACTATTATCCCTTGCACAGTGCTCCTTGGGATGTTTAGGGCTTGGGAAATATATTTTTGTATCCAAATCTGGCTATAAACTTGTGCACAGCAGTATCTTCGACCTGTCTGGTGTTTTTCTTGTGCTTTACGATGCTCTCTGAACTTTAAACAGAACCCTGATACTATCACAGAGCAGGTGCATTTATACTTTAGCTGAATTCTATTTATCATCATCAGTCATTCAGAGAGCCAAACTGATCTTCTGCAGAGTTTGCTGTACTGAAGATAAAGAGTCCGATTAATTTTTAAAGCCCAATCTTTAGTTTGTTATTTGTTAAAAAAAACCTATAAAAATATCGAAAACATTTCATTCCACTTCTTTACAAAATTACAATTTTATATCTTCATGTTTGAAAACTGAAATGTGGCAAAAAGTCAAAAAGTTCAAGGGGGCTGAAATGCTTTCGCAAAGCACCGTAATGTTGGATTAGCATTTCCTTTCTGAATTTGTCTATTTTTTTCTGGCATGCAAAGTGATTTTTATATCATGTTATTAAATATTACACAATGGCTTTCAGTGTAAGATTAACCAGCAGTAGAGGTCTACTAACGTACATAACATCAAACATAGGCTCTGATCCTTATATAAACCAATTATTTCACATCAGTACTAGCGGGAGAGTTTATCACTTAATTTGAGTCTAACTTGCTAAAGCTGGCAGTCCCAGTGGTATAAAGCTAGTAATGGTCAGAGGGAAGAATATTTTCTCTAGCATGTGTAGTTGAAATGCAACACCCCTGATTCTTTTCAGAGATGTTTTTAATCATTGCTAGACGTGGAGGATCTAAGTTATTGCAATTATCTCATGATTTATGAAGATCAGCACACATCTACATATTGAAATGACATGTTCTCCTGTCGTTCTCATTTTAAAGTCTGATTATGAAGAAAAGGCCTCCATCATCTAATATTTATAGAAGTAAAAAAGGAAGTCAGATTAAATGTATCTAGACACCTATAAACGTTGAAAAAGGGATTATTATAAAATGCTGTGTAAATTATCTTATTAAACTGTAAGCTAATAACTGTGACAATAGGTATTTTGTAAAGCAAAATGAAAAAAATATATATTTTTTTACTTAATTTTATAACAGAAAATCTTTTAAAATATTTTTTAAAGTTGAGATAATGCTTCTGTAATAAAAGATGCATTTATTTATGTTTTTTTTGCTCATCTTTTTTAGGGGGTTATAGTGAAGAGTTATGCGGTGAAAGGACAGGGATAACTGCTCAAAATTAAAAACACACACTTGTATGTATACCCTTTCATATTTGATTTATTGACTAAACTTAAGAAAGAAGGGGGGAAAAAATCTGGGAAATTCCTGAGAAAAAGAAAACAATTATTCACTTCCGATCTCTATGAAAGTCTGTAGCTTACCTCATTTATCTGTCAAACAACCAGAAAAACTTAAAGTACTACAGGGATAGGAAGGTGCTGAGCCACTTCCTGGTGTGCCTGAGGAGGCAATACAAAGGTGTACAGCCTAAATATAGAAATAATAACATGGTTATCAATTTAATGAGTTTCCTGAGCAGGGACAACATGAGTAATTGCACATCTATATCCCTATTTTAACATTAATCACAGCAGAGGAGAGCAAGCAGTTACACACAAAAGGAAAGGGCATCTTTTCTGAGGATCTCACATAACAGATTAATAATGAGACATTGGAAAGAGTGTGATTACCAAACAGAAAACTGGAACAGCTTACATCACTGTTTGCAAACAAACATATGAGCTTGATTATCCTCATCTTTCTTTTCTTTTTTTATTTGCATGGCAAGAAAATGTAGTCTTTTTCAATGAGGGCAGAACTGCACATTATATACACTCTGAGACAAATGCCTGCCAGTGTAGTTATTAAGGCACTGGGGGAAAAAAAAAACATGTGCAGGTCCCTCCTAACAAATAACCAAATACTTGAAACATTCATTTCATTTCAGTTAAAAAAGTAAAACTCATAAAGGTTCATTTAACTCCGAAATTTAGAAATTTTCATTCCTGTTCATTATCTAAAAGTCATGCAGTTAACAGAGATCCTAAAATTATGTTTCTCGAAAATTTGAAATCTAAATAAGAATAAAAACAAAAACGGTTTTAAAATAGAGATGCTGACCTGCAGAAAAGTCCAGTCATGCACCTTTAATATGAATTACTGCATCCATGTGAAGTGGCATGGATGTGATCTGTGTCTTACTTTACTGAGATGTTCAGGAGGCCCACATCCCCAATGTTGTTTCCTATGTGTCTCATACGTCTTTTGACAATTTCTCATCAATTCTTTCGGGGTTTTTTTTGTCTTTTGCCCAAATAAGCTCAGTGTTATAGTTATGTCTGGTGTGGCATTTTACACAGTGTGCACAAAATTCCTGCTAAGTAAGAGGAACAATTGAGTGTTCTAAAATTTTCTGGTAGAGGGCTACATTGGCAAGTGACTTCAGAAAACAGAGTACACCAACATAAGCAAATGACATGACACCCTAAGTCATTGGCTGTGGAAACTTTGCACTGGACCGTAGGCAGCTTTTGTCTCTTTACTCTTCTTCCAGACTCTGGGACCTACAATTAGAACAGTCCAGTCATTCTCGCATTTAACACAGGGAGGAGGCTTCTAACTTTGTCTCTCTTTTAGGAGGCTAGACAATATGAAACTTTTTCCTTCCACTGAATTTTCAAATAATATGCTTAGATACAGCACTCTGTGAACAACTAGCTTCTTTAGAGACAAACTCTTATCCCCTATTCTCTTTGCGGGGAGTAACCATCTGCTGGCCAGCTGTAGCTCAGCTGTCTTGTCTTATCGTTGCAAGTGACATAACATGGTCATAACATTTCTTGCTCTTAATTTATTAGTAGTATGAGTCCCTGCATTTCTCTGGTAATTTCCTTAGCTGTAAGGTTTATTCAGTAAAATCAACTAAATAAATGCTCAGATATGATATATCTATGGAATATATGAGTTTCACTTTTATAATTGTAATATGAAATTAAATTGTTTCTGGTAATATAATTTATTGAGATGTAGTAGTCAGTTAAAAACAAAGATGTTAGCTTTGACCCTGGATTTAGGATTCATCACTTAGTAAAGTCTGCTCTGGAGGCGGTACTCCTTACAAACAGCAACTGAGACAACGAACATCAACTGGAGTTTAAAATGTAGAAAAGCTTCATGTTTTCTTTATATATGGTGGCAAAAAGAGAAAATACAAAAGCTTTGCATCTGAGTGACTTCTCAGATACTGGAGACCGATTTACAAATAACAGTTGTTATGTCCCAAAAAGAGACTTTCCTTGATCTGCTTCTCATCATCCACCAATTAACGGTCCCTTCCGACATCTTTATAGAAATTAACTTTTCAATCTGAAAGCTGACATCTCTTGCTTTGATATCTGCACCAGCAAATCCCTTCCAGTTTGTGTTCTGGTGATGTTCATGGTTTGCAGAAGGAAAGGCCACTAACAGCGTAGTTGTGGATTTTTAGAAGCACTTCTCTTTAGTTATGGACGTTTACTGATGAGGTGTTGGTATTCTGCATTGTGGTTTGCTTAAGGTCTGCATGCTGAGGAGTTTATCTCGATAATCCAAAATGTGGTGTACCCTGGCAGCCAGAGGACTGAAACAACTTGACTTGATTCTTTGCTTTCATTTAAAGTACATCGTAGGCAAGGTAGTATGTGTCCTTTCAGGATAAAAACCCACCCAGTTTTTTAGGCTCAATGTGTCCGTGGGTGCAGAGGACTTCAGCTGTGGAGAATGAAGAAGAGAAATAGATGATGATTACTAAAAATATTTTATAGAAATGCAACAGAAAAAAAAAAACAGAATACATTTAAATTTAATACAAAAAGGTAAACGCTCCACCAAAGAATTGCATTTATATTTGGTTCTTTTTCTCTGATATTACCAAAGAAATTCCAGCAAATGACTTCATCAGGAAAATCATCTAATCCAGCTATATTATCAAGGCTATGATCTTTTGTTTTTGCTGAACATTAGAAAACAAACAGCATTGTGAACACCAAGCAGGACTTAGATCCGGCCAAGATGCCATAGTGGCATTAAAACCAACTGTTGAAAGAAGTCCAGAGTAAAAGCAACTGAAAACCTTTGGCAAAACCTTAATATTCCCGGATAGAGATATTCTCCACCAAAGTAAACAAATACAAAACAATAGTCTAATATTTAACAAAAAATTTGTCGTCTCCTTTGATGACTTTTGTGGAATATCAAGTCTAAATTCAAGTCTGCGTTTGAAATGTGAACAAATAATCAGAGGAAATAAGTAGTTTAACAAGGCACTGAAAAAATCTTATTTTGGGGCTTCTGAGCTATCTTTTTATTTTGACTGATTATTTTCCCTTGCATCTTTAAAGGCTATCTTTGTGTGTACAATCAATGTATATGAAGCAATGGCTGCTCTAATTGAATAGCTGATCGGTCAAACATGAAAAGAGTGTCAGTAACAAGCAGCTAATATCTGTATATAAAGAAAAATAAATGAAATTATGATCTCAGCTTTTAAACACATACTATTGTTTACCATCTCACGCCAACACATGATGCTCATGGTTTCCTCCGGACAGCCTGTTTAAGATGGAGCTCGCTTTCTGCTGCAACAATTGGCAACTCGTTCCGCAGGTGGTACGTTATAAGGTGGCTTATGCTGTCAAACAGCATGTCTTTCGTTCTGACCTATGTATAGATAAGCAGGTTTTAGGTTTATTTAAATCAGATTGGACTGACATGAACTGAAACAGACTTACCACTCCTTCTGGATCCACTAGCAGCAGGTGTTTGGGCAGGCCACAGTGCATGCCTGTTAGTACATACTGCCCAGTATTAGTGGTGCTCTCCCGGACGAGGAAATCTCCATCTCGAACCAGCAGTTTCTCTGCATCTCTCCGACTCATGCGGCTGTGGTACCACGTCTCCCTGCGGAGTTGCTCCTCATTTGGGGCCACAGGGGCCCTGCGTCTTGGTGGACTGGGCCACTGGTCCTCTAAGTTTCGAACCCCCCCTCCTCCAGCTTGTGAGCCAGAGCCTCCTGATACACTGGAGCCAGCAGCTCCTCCACAAGCCTCATGGAGCTTCAGCGCATCCTCGAATGGCCCTATGGAGTGACAGCAGGTATTCATCTTCAAATTCTCCACCTTAGCTTATCTCCAGGTTTATCTATCATAGATCGATCTAAAGACTCACTCATATCAAAGAGGTCTTTTTTAGGACTGTCATGTGCCCTGGCGCCTCTGTGTCCATCTGCTCCATGTGTTAGTGATTCAAGGTTTTCCAGGCTCTGTGTGTTTACATACTGATGCTCATCATAGTCCTTGCTGGCTGGAGGCTGACCATCAGCACACAGGTAACCATCTGTTGGAAACCAGTAAAACAAAATCCAGCTAAACCAAAGCTTTAAAAACTTAATTTATACATAATATTTGAACTAAATTTCCATTAAAACCAACATATTATTTTAATACACATTTAAAATTATGGCATCATAAAAATGTTATAAATTTAAAACTTAAAATCCAGACAAATCTTTTTTTTCTGTCATAGGAAATGAAATATAAACTATAAGAATAAAGTGACATATAGCATTATGAAAGAGGATTTCACTCATTTTATTTTATTATTTTTGTTTTGTTTTCCTTTTGACCTTTTAAATGCCTCTGATCCTAAGAACTAATCTTAATAGCAAACAACAAATACAAAAATGTTTTTTTTTATTGATGATTGATGAAAGAGAAATGTATCTAAGTCAACCTGGTGCTTTGTAGAAATATAAAATGACAATATAGATAATGAATTAATTTTGATCAAATGTATATTGATGGAAAGCTGATTTTTCAGATATCAAACCTAGGTCTGCTTTCCATCGGACCTTAACAAATAAATACTCCCTAACTCCATGGGGAAAAAAAAAAAAAAAAAAAAAAAATCACAACATCATGCCTAGATATAAAAAAATGTTTTCTAGAACTTTACCAGCAATTGCTACTTTCTGCCACAAGGTGTCTCACCTGAGCTACAGGTGGTCTCAGTGTCCCAGTGCAGCTCATAACAGAGTTGACCTGGTTGGTAGGATCCCTGCTCCCTCCTGCCCTGTGAGCCCATCTGTGAAGACAAACACAATAAAACAACACATGTGAAGATTTACTTTGTAAAATCAGAAAAAACTTGCTATGTCTTCACCATGTATTACAGTGATCAGGCACACAGTCCTTAAATATTCCCTAAGGCCCATCCAAATACAATTAACAAGCAGCATAGAGAACTAAATGGTTCCTGGTTTAATGTAATCATACATGTCTTTAATAGTTATGGTGCAGGTACATCAGGATGGTTATATAGCTTATTTAGGGAGGCGGTGGTGTAATTATCTTTGAATATTGTGGGGAAGAAGCAGACAAACACATTAGTCTCTTGTTTGAGGGATCCGAAGCCTGACACCCTCTGACTTCCTCGAATAAAGTGTCATCATAGACCAGATGATAAAGTCCAGATGTACTTTATAGAGCAACTATTAGATTGCAGGATATGACACTGCTGGCTGCTTCAATCAAATACTGAATACAAAAAAAGGAAACTTTATCAAAAAAGACCAAAGTTCATCTCTAAAACAGCTGTTTGTTCACAGAGTGCTGTATCCAAGCATATTGTTGGACTGTTCAGTGCATATACCGGTACAAAGAATTACAAAACTGTACCCAAATCCCCCAATGCGGTGGAATAATGTTTCCACAGCCATGGATCTCACCTGAGTTCCTGTCTTGTTCTGTGGCTGAGTGTGGATGTGACCCAGGAGGGCCCCGCTGGGCTTCAGCCTGGAGTCCACCACTCCTCCAACCGGAGGCTCCTTTCCAGGGATGCTGTTGTAGTAGTCGTGCTCAGATGCATCTTCATCCTCACCCCACACTGGCTCCTCTGTCCGAATAGGCCTGCAGTCAAATGCATATTAAACTCATGCATCTGATAAAGCATCACTCAATTTAATTCTTGCCCAACGTGTGAAAAAAAATCTGAATATTCACAGTTTTAAAATAACTTTAAACTAACACAAGAGTGGAAGAACTAACAGATTAAAATAATTAAAAAAAACTTTATGCAGCATGCAGTCCTGCAAAGTCTATTATTTAAGTTTCTTCAATGTTTGTTTTCTCATTCATCGGTTCATGCGTACAGTTGACTATGTTACCTCTCTGCAGATGAAATGGTTTTAGGAGGACTGTGGAGATACTGTTTGAACTGCAGCTCAAAAGCCTGGCCAATGGTGCTGATGACACTTTGGGCCAAACCATCCGAACACTCCAAGATGTGACATGCTGTAAAAAAAAAAATCCTAAAGATTATTAATCCATGCAGAAAATAAAAACAAAATAAACATATCATCTCTATGTGAAATATAACAGTGAGGATTCATACCATTAAATAAAAGCAAAATAGCAAAAGTACATGTAAACAGCTTACCTCTTTGATTTACTGGGTCTTTGGCTACATATGCAACATAATCTGGTGTGTCCTGCAGCAAAGAAAATGGAAAGTCCAATTAGACCAAACATAAATCAGAGGTCTTTAAATAGATTTATTGATTTTTTGGGTCACAAGATTGGAAAGCAGTGAAATATAACTGATGTTGTTTTTAAAGATTAAAAAAATGTCAAATAGCAGAGACGTTTGGGAGGGTTAAAATTGCTTTACTTACTGTGTCTCCTCCAGAGGCAAATGAGATGGACTGCATGGGATGGTGCGCAATCACCTACAACATACACATAGCTTTAAGATGTAAAGATAGCAAATTTAACAATCATGTCTTCCTAATATATTCGTGCAGTTGTGTACATTATTATGCAACAACCACATTTTTCCTAGTAATAGAAAGCAACGATCTACAGTAAATGCACAACTTTAAGGCACTCTGGAGCTCAGTGTGATAGAGTTCTATGGAAAACAACCTACAGATCAAACACCACTTACACATACTTCTCAACAATAGCTGTAAGTAATCTGTAAATCTTTTATCTGCTACTATCTGTCATTATTTATCCTTTATTATAACACCAATAATATACATATATATAATACATGTGGTAACTTTCCAGTATAATCTGTATATTGCTTCCATATTTATTTATTTATAGCCTCTTACAATTACTCTCTGTCTATGTATACCATTTATAGTCCATGCATTCAATGTCTCTACATGTAAATAAATATTTTTAATCCTGTATAGCACTTCTGGATAGATGCAAACTACATTTCGTTGTTTTATACTTGTGACAGTGTAATGACAATAAAGTTGAATTCTATTCTATTCTGTATGTCTGAGTGGGGAAAGAAATTCAGAACCCAAATAAGTGTTAAGATAGGGCAATGTGTGGTTATGTTTTTGTTTCTCCAGATGTGTGGCATTAAACATCAGGCTAAAATCACTGTTCAGGTTTCCAGCATGGTCTAGATGAAAAAGGGTTCTGTGTAGTTCACATTTTGCATCCTTGATCTTAAAATGCAGGAAAGCTGGGTGTAATTTCAGCATTAGGGAGCAACATTTCAAAAGTAAAGCAACGATCAGATTTAAGCTTGTATTAATCATAGAGGATCTTACCTGTCGTGTAGTTGGGATGAGCAGGCCAAGGCCATCTATAGAAATATTCACAGCGATGCTCATGCCTGCAAATCGCAGGTTACTCTTTCCCATGACTGACTGCAGAGCTTTGCTTGGTACCTAAATGTTAAAAAAACATTCACATTTTTTTTATTGTTGGACAGAAATCTTGGATCCTCAGATATAAGTTTTCTTGCTTTTATGAATAACTTCTTACAGTCTTGTCAAAAAAATTTGGAACTCTTTAATCGGTATTTATGAATTAAATCTCATACAAACTGGTGTGAAAGTTGGCCAAAAGAGTTACTAAAAAAAAAGGAAAATAATAAGGTTTGGCCAGACAAGGATTATGTCTTGAAATGATACAGTTTGTCACATTAGCTGTTTTTTATGTTTCACCTGCAGATGTTGGTGAAACATAAAATATAGCTGTAGGCGTTTGTTTGGACTTCCTAATGATCGTTACCTCCATCAATTATTCATTTTATTCTTTTAAGTAAGTAGTTAAAACAATCTAAAACACTACTTATCATAAGCACATGACACTGCTACATATTTATAGTAGATTACTGTTTACCACTGACCTTTTTCCTCCAAGCCCCCTTTCCTCCAGGCACTGCCTCACAAAGTCTGTTGATGGCTTCCCTGATTAAAAGAATGAGAAAAAAGGATGCAGGTCACATTAAAGACAATGCTGACCATTGAGTACCAGCTACTCATAACTCAAAGAAATGTGTTTCAAGTATAAAGAGAACTGTTGAACTGTAAATTATGAGGAAATGCAGGGTATGACTTGTAGACATGCCTGTTTCCTAACTCCAAATTGCATAGATCTGTTAAAATTCAACAGTCAACATTTTTTTTTCTGCTATATTGTTCACAAACTGATCTGTAAAATGTGTCTTTAACGACTGTGTAGGATTACAGAAAAAATACTGCTATGAGGTCATGCACAGCAGGCACATTCTAACTATGTTTATATTCGCACAAGGAATCTGTCTTTGCAGAATTGCATCAATCCTGCAGTGGGACAGCTAAAACCTATGGGAATGGCAGCCTGTAAGGGGTACTTAAAGCCAGAAATCCCAGTGTGTCTCTGATGGTGTGGATTAGGCAGAATGTAGCTTGGAAGCTGGAGTTTGCGATATAACTGAGAGGGAACAGCAGGGACTGAAATCAACCTGCCCGCATGGCCCTATTCAGTGGCTTAAATATTTAAAAAGCAGCGTCCCGGGCCTGGTCTCATGTGAAGGTCTTCTCAGGGATTTTTGAAAAACACCACCACATTCAAATGACTCATGCTGATGAAAGCAGAGGGAGGAGGAGGGGGAGAGAAAGAGAGACGCGCTGTTGTTGTTATTGTCTGCAGTCCTGGTCTTTCCTGTCCATCCTGGTATCTAAACGCTGAGCTGCGTTATAAACAATGTTATTTTAAACAGCATGACTGAAAGCCCTGTAGGGAAACGGCAACTCCGTCAAATTTAAAAGCTGTAATAAACAAATATCTTGTTTATAAGCTAATACAGGTTTTAGAGTGAAAAGTACACTTTTGAATTGCTTCACTATATTTTACACTACATAATCAATATCACGTAAATTATGTGGATGGGAAAATAGGTCAAACACAGTTTATTGCATAATTATTTACACTAATTAAACCTATGCACATTTTCTCACTACTATAGCTTTTTATCTGACTGACATACAAAAAATGCATAACATCATGCATAATTGTGAATCTGAGGAAAAAGTGAATGTCTTGCATATATTTCTGTTCACCCTCAGTAGTCAGTACTTTGTAGAACCACTTTCCACTATAAGAAGCTCCTTCTCTATTCCAGTCTTGCACATCTAGTTTTTCTCTCCTCTGATCTATTTGCATTATATCTCAAGCTGTCTGTAAAGATAAATCTTAAGTCTTTCCACAGACCCTCGGCTGAATTAACTGTTGGAGTTTATCTTAGTAACTCAAACACTGTTTTTATTTTAGGTCTTGCTCTATGTTTAAGTTTGTTCTGCTGAAAGTAAATACTCTGTCTTAAGACTTTTGCAGCCTTAAAGACTTTTTTTCAGGATCATGTATATCTAGAACTCTCTTCCTATCAACTCTAACCAACTCTTTTGTGGCTGCTAATAAAAAAAAAGCATCTCCAACACATAATATTGCCATTACCATGATTCGGTTTTAGGATGGTGTGTTCACTGTGACATGCAGTGCTTGTCTCAATGTATTTTATCTGACGAAACACCTGCATTTAGGTATTTTATGTCTCCAACCTGACTTTTGCCACACAAAAAAAGCTGATGCCTTACTTTAAAAAACATTGTTTTTCTTGTAGGCTGTTGTACTTGTAGAATACTGTACTGTAATCATATTATTCTACCCAAGCTGTGAATCTCTGCAGCTCTCCAGAGTTAACATGAAGTCATCTTTTGATTGCTAATTTAATCATTGCGTGGGCCATGAATTCTTCATTTTGTCATTCTCTTAAGTTATGATGGGAAGAAAACAAACAGCGCCCTTTCTTGTAACTTAATCCAGCTTCAAGCTCCTTCACAGCTCATTTCCAACCTGACTGGTTATTTCCCTCTTTCTCATGATGCTGTTTATTTACTAATGTTGATAAAGAGGTGACATTTATTTTGCATGGCACTGTGCTGCCAGAATCAAGGAGGCATTTTTTTTACTTAATGTTTTACTCATTTATGCTGATCTTAGCAAGCAAATTTAGTAACAACACAAAAGGGAAATAAAGCTCAGAAGTTAGAATTGGTGCACAAAACCATAAGCAGCCTGAACAGCTGCAGTATGGTTCATGTCGGTTTCTTTTCCTTTGCTGCTTTGTTTTGATCCCCTTTAACCTCCTCCAGTCTCTCAAAAACTTGCAGCCAAACACATTATCCAACAGGGTGCGTTCACAGAGACCACTGCAGCTTTCCACTGTCATTAGCAAACATCATCAATTATAGATCTCCTTTTTCTATCACTCCATCTCTGATGCATCTTCCTTCTCCTCCTCTCCCATTGCACTTAAGCTTTGGATGCATGGTAGGCTCAGATTACTAACAATCGATTGTGAAAGGGAGATGGAGGGAGAGAGAGGTAGGGGAGGAGAGACAGAAGGAGAGGAGGAGCGAAGGGGTGGGGGGGTGGGGGGGAGTGCTGCTTCTCTGAGGTTGAGGATGACAACAAGATCACATGCAATGCAGGAAAAAAGAATGAAACTCACATGCAAAGAGTTTCAAGTCTGAACTCCTCATAAGTAAAACAGCGGCGGTTGTCTCTGAACTCTGGCAGACACCAAACAGGACTTCTTTTTTGAAATAGTTTCATACTTCGGGAATGTTGTCTGGTATTCTTGTAGATTCTTGCTTATGCAGAATATTTAAGGGAAGCTGCCAAAAGCTAAATGACTTCAGTTATGGTAATTAAAATAGGTAACATATACATTCATAAAAAAAACTCCACCATTAGTATGCATATTTAAGTATTTGCTTTTAGAATAAATTTAGCACTTGGCTCTAACCACTTGCCTTATTAAATATTACAGCCATGGACGTGTAAATAAACGCTCTACATCTTAGATTGAATTCTCCTGACTCACCATATTCAGTAAAGATAGTTGCTGGCTTACCTTGTCACCTGAGTCCGTGTATTAAAGTCCAGGGAGCGCATTGACTTCAGCACCTCAATGCAACCCATGTACTACAAAGAAAAAAGGTTTAATCATCACTCCCATTCAGATGTCATTTTATATCCAAAGACTAACCATTAAAGCATGCCTCTACCACTGCTGTGCCCTAATGGCTGTCAAATAAGGGAGCTAACGGCACTTTGACTAGATTAGCATCACTAAGCTCCAGACTGTGCACAAATTGCAGCTTCAGGGCCCTCGGGGGAGACCTTTACAGTATGTGGGAGGGAGTTTGATCCTACAGGTAGTGCAAGTGGGAAAGCATTTATTATTACTCCCTTAAAGGGAGCAAAATCTGTGAATTTCTGTTTGTCTGCTACAATTATTTGGGCCAAATCCCACCGTTTAGGTGTTGCATTAAGTAAACCCTGTGTCATTTTTTGTTTCATACAGTACCTTATAAAAGTATTCATACTTCCTTAAAACCATAATTCTCAATTTATGTAATTATTTCCAATAGAGATGCACTGTAAACATTAATATCTGTAAAACTATTTGGTAAAATGGACCTGATAATAGCGGCAAAGGTATTCTGTCTATATCTATAATACATTTAAGTTAGTTTAAGAATATCTTACACAACAAGAATGTTTACCTTCTAATGAGCATTTATCTTTGACATAAGTACAGAAAATTTGAACTCTAGTGGTTTTCAGGATGGACTTTGTCCTGTTAAGATGATTTATTGTTTTAATGACATGCTTTTTGACTCTAAGTTACCTTTTGGGATACCCATGTGTATATTCGTACATATTATACATGCATGTAAAGATGAGCTAATGGCAGTGTCTCACAAAATCACCAATAATGGTGAGAACATTAAAGAAAAGTTCTGGTATGAGAAAAGGATTGGGATGTATGGATATACAAATTCAAATATTGAATGTGAAAAACTGTGGACCAGTGCATCTCTAGTTATCATTGCATTATTACATGGAAAGAAAAAATGTACATTCACTTCATTTTTAGGAGAAGAAAAAACAACAAACTATTTTGGATGCAATTACTTTCAGGTCAATTGGCTTTAATCTGAAAATCTCCAATAACAGTCCAAATTTATTTTAACACAAATCTAGCTATTCTGTAAAGGCCTTAGAGGACAGTGATGAACAAATAACATAGCAGAGACAAAAATAACACAACAGACAGGTAAAAAGCAGAAAAGACGTTGGGCGACAGTGATGGCGGATGTACAGGAGTGTTCCCTGCAACTGGATGGGTTGTCAGTGCGACCCCGACTCCAGCTTTAAGTGTCATTGTGTCCTTGGGCAAGACACTTCCCCTGCACTGCCTACTGATGGCGGTTGGAGGAACTGGTTGCACCAGTGTACGGCAGCCTCGCTTCTGTCAGTGAGCCCCAGGGCAGCTGTGGCTACAATGTAGCTTACCACCATCAGTGTGTATGCGTGTGTGTTAATGACTTAATGTAGTGTAAAGAGCTTTGGTCAAGTCTTCTGACTTTAAAAAACACTATATAAGTACAGGCCATTTACCATTTACCATTTAAAACAAGGTTGGTTTCTAAACAATACATTTTGAAATCTCACAAATTATAAATCAATACCCTACAAGGTTGCAAAGGGTATGGCACAACAAACCAACAAGAAAATGCTGTACCATGAAACTTATAGCTTGTGCAAAGAAAAACTTGATCAAAAAAGCAGTCAAGAGTCCTTTTGTGGGAGGTGAAGAAATCCATAACCCTTATAGGAGAATCTGTCAACAGGAAACCATCGGTTGAGCATTTCACAAATCTCTAAAGCTGTTTCTGAAGAAATCTAGTATTTGGGAAAAGGTTCTCCAGTCACATTTCACCAATGAACTTTGGATCAACATGCAAAGCATTCAGTCTGATGGAAAAACAAAAACACCATGCTCATGCTGAAAATATGGTGGTCAGTTGATAGAAAGATGACGGGGTTAAATGCAGGGCAATTATGGAAGAAAAACCCTCCTACAGGCTGCAAATGGCTGCAACTCAGAAAAGGTCCCCCAAAATATACAGTCAGGCAACAATCTAAAAACCAACCTTTTGTTTTTTTTTTATCTTGCTGTGTTTTAGACATAAATCCTCAACAACATACAGGACATTGACGTTTGTGGATGTATACAGGTCCAAGGGAAATGAATGGTTTTTCAAGGTGGTGTGGTTAAGGAAAAAAGCATTTCTTTGCAACAAATAGCAAACCAGCAGAGTCTAAGCAGCACAAACAGAACCCCTGAGTCTAAATAAGCTTAATGAGCTTTCTAATAAGATTTTGGCTTAAGGGAAGTTTTCCATCAAGAAGATTGTTCTTTTTTTTTTCATCTGCTGATGCAACAATCTCCACACCCCCAACCTTTCTCTATCATCCTCATGTTGTCCTTTCGGGATAAAGCACAAATGTACAAGGTATGCAAGGTTTTCAAGATGCATTGCTTTGAAATGTAACAATACAAGCATCCTCTTGTTAAATTCTGTTGTAGCTGTCTTCCCTTTGAGATACATCCTTGTAGCTGTATTGTTTGTTAAGCCAGGAAGTCATAATTCATATGCTGAGGCAGTGCAACAACAAGAACAACAATATCTGTTGCATAATGTCAGATAAACAAGCATTTTTTGTTTCTTCTGAGTGGGGGGTAAAATATTTTTTTACACTGCATAGGTCGCTTTAAATGCGACTCTTGTGCATAATATGACAGCTAAGAAAAAAATTGTAATGAAACAGCATAAAAACAGTTTGATGCATGTGTATTGATGATAGCCGCTCTGGCAGCTGCAGTGCTTGTTTTAATGGCTGCTGCAGTGCTCTGGCTAACAGAGATGGCAGATGCAGGGGAGACACAGCACGTGGCATATCTAAGTGGACACCAGGAAGATATAAACACATTACTAAGAAAACCCAAATGTCTGCCAAGAAAAAGGCTGGACATCCGCATATGAATGAATAACTCAATATTTAGGAACAGAAACCGAGAGAAAGATGCTAACTGTGGCGGTTAAAGAGAAAAACAGATTTGTTGTCACTCTGACACTTATGCATGAATTGAAATGCATATAGTAGGTAATAAATCCTCCTATTTTCTAAATTGCCTCTTATATGTCCTCCGTCAGGATCACATCACGCTAATGAGTGACAACAACAAGCTCTTAGAAACACTCTTGGATCATCAACAGAGACGTCGATCAGAGATAAGAAGAGCCCTCCATACCAGGCTCAGAAAGCAGAGCATTGGGATGAGAAATTCCTTCTATAAAACATTCAGACCTCCTCTGCAACTGATCCAACTGCCTCATCCTCGTCACATGAGGCAAATGACTGTGATTACATGTAATTGAATATAGGACTGAATGGTGCTCACGTAATGTCATTAGAAAATGCGCTTGGGGCTCCAGACTGCAGTAATCAAGAGCCGTGTCATTAAGTTTGAGGATGAGGGGGAGAGAGCAGAGGTGAAGAGTCATCAAGGAGGACGCCATGGGCATCACTGAATAATAAACATAAGCAACTGATAATGCATTCAGAACCATCGGATTTATGAGATTTATCATCTGGCAATTACTTCATGTAGCTGATTTCGCTCATTGTTATTAAAACTAGCACGTTTTTTATTCTTTAAGGTATACATTATCCCCCTTCCTAAACAAATAAGGAGACTCATATTTCAGATGATTAGAGAAAAAAATTCCGGTATGAAATCTTTACATTCCCAGCACACATACAAATAAATGAAAACAAATTCAAAGAGAACCTCTTCCACAGTGTCTGATCAAAGTCAGTCAGATTGTAAGCTCCATAAACATCTTTTGTTTTAAATACAGTGTGACAAACACCATATTTACTGGCTGAACAAAGTGAAGTGTGGCTGAATAACAATAGTTTCCACAGTTAGGACACATAATTTTATGGTTTATTTTTCCCCTCCCTGACGCCTGAGTGCAGTCATGATCCAGCCTCTTAACCAGCAACACCAGCCGTCTATTTGGATGAAATTATCTATTCCCTCGGCACTGCCACATGAGCTGCATAACAAACTGCCTGCTGTTGTGATGCTTTTGTTTGCTTGTTTTTTTTCACATTCGGAGGAATAAAACCTAAAGGCTTGCAGCCTAGATTTTATTTTTTTCCCAGGGGAGTGTTACTTTAAAGATGGAATTTTGTTTTTTGCTTCAAAATCATCCAATTTTCTTTTTTTCTTTTTAAATTTTCTTTAGATTTTTTTTTTAAACACTTGCATTACTTTTTGTGTATAAGCACATTGATGGGTGATGGTTAGGGTGGCATGCTTTGATGCATAAATGAGAAACATTTACATCAGCCAGGTAGAAACAGATTAGATCATCACTACAATAATCATTCCTATACCTGCTAAACTAGATATTTCTTTTTATTTCTTTTTTTATTTCATATGTACTTACCCTGACAATGTAAGAAGCTCCTTGCCCCACAATTTTCTTGTCAGGGTGCAGCCAACCCTGAGAGGGTTTGTGGATGAAGCTGCCCTTCGTATGGAGGTCCTCTCCCCCCAGCCACATGCCTTCAACCCTTGTCCTGCGATTCATTCCTGATCTGGAGCTGCTGGAAACACTGGGGCTCACCATGACCTCTGCTGCGACCCCAAAGCCTTGTCCTCCTGGACTGCCAGAGGGTGCAGCTGCTGCTACTGCCCGCTGCCCTCGGATGGCCTGTAAGGAACAGGGGGTGACACAGACAGGGTCACAAGAGTTTAGTACGGCCGCAAGGCTGGCCACGGGGCCACTGGCTGAGCTTGCCCCGCTGATCCTGCTTGATGATGAGGAGACTGAGCCCTGGGAGGAAGCTGTCTTGGTTGAGTCCTTGCTAGAGCTGGATGGGCTCCTGCTGAGCAAGGAATTGGAGAACTTCCATTGGGGCATCCTGGGGATGAGCATGCAGAAGGTTGTGGTGACCTCTTGTTCCCCATCTAGGCAGGGGGAGTCTGCCAGGGCTGCAGCCCCTGCAGATGAGGAGGACCGAGCACTGGGATCCAAAGGAGGCAAAGGAGGCAGAGGCAGACTCTGCGCGGAGGAGGAGACCACCGGTGTGGCCACTACTTTGCTGCTCATGGTTAAGCTCTGCATCAGGTCATCGGAGGAGGTTACAGACTCATTGCGAAAGCGGTCATACTTTGGCTTAAGGAGCATGCCCGGAGGAGCCGCCTGAAGCAGAAGCTGAGAGAGAGGATAACTTTCAGAAGATAGAGGGGAGAAGGGTAAGGGGAGGGGGGAGGGACGGAGCAATGGAAGCAGAGGAGAAACCAGAAGAAAACAATTTCCCCAGCTGAGTCCTATATCCTTGTCAAAGACACTTTAGTGCTGTGTGCACCTCCGCCGCTATGACACTGTCCCGCTCTCATGCTGCTGCTGCTGCTCTCCTCCTCCTGATCTAAATGGGCCCGCTTCCTCTCCCTTCCTGGGGATAGATGTGCTTTTGACTGTCTCTCCTCCGTGGTGGATGATGTCATTGGCCCGAGAGCCCTGCCCTGCCCAGCTGCTCCCAGACTACTCGCTGAAACACACATGCTTTAACCGCCCTCCTCCAAGACACAAACACACGCATTCTGCAGATTACCTGCTCCTCTACATAAAGGAATATTAAGAAACTTTCAGGTTATTTAGAGGTGGAATTATATCATAGGATTCAATGAAAAAAAGCAATGAGTTTATAAAATAATTCCTGCTATTCTTATAGTACAGAGGTTGAAATATAATTATACATGGTTATTTAGTGGGATATCCTGCATTTAATAAAATTTTAAATTATAATGAAGTAACCTAAATATTCAAACAAAGAAAATAGCTATGCTAGCCTGTTTTTAAATTATAGTAAATATAAACTCTTACATGTGTTCTAGATATCAGAATAAGACTCATCCAATTAGTTGAAGTGAATTTTGCATGAGACAGCATGATCTTATTTCACATAAGCTATAGAGAAAAACCTAACAAAAGGAACAATGCAGTCACCACCTAAAAGGACCACACATCTGACAGCATCCACCCTTTTCCATCTGCTTGGATTGCCCCCACCCCTCTCCTCTACCTCTCTGGGGAGCAATCAGCCATCTCAGCGTGACCCTTTTAGCTCTTCGCTTGCACCCTCCCCTGTGTGTTTCTCTAATTCCCTGCCATTTCTACTCTCTTTTCTACTCTTTCATATCGAGCAGAGATTAACTTAATTAACCATAACATTATGTCCAGTCCAGGGATGGCCAAAGGAGAAAGAGTGTTTACCAGGGTGTGCTTATTGGGATATCTTAGCTTTCATGATGAAATTAGGCATATTTCTGGATAGTTGTTTTTTTTTAATAATAAAAAAAAAACAATCATTACACAAAATGTTATTTGAGGTAAACTATATCCTCTAACCCTAGTTGGCACACTACTGCCCTTCTAATGATGTAACTGGGGGAAGCAACTTCTTTATAAGTAGGGCAGAACAATTTTGCCAAAAATCAAATTTGCAATTATTTTCAACCAATATTACCATTCCCTTGCTATTTTCCTTTGCACTAAGCGCAAGGATGCAGATGTTTCTATCAAGGGTTTCAGTTTATTTATGACCTAGAAAGCTTGCTTTTCCGGAATCCATTGATGTAGGACTTTACTGTAACCTTTCAGTGAAAAAGATCTTGCATACTATCATGCATGGCTCTGCCTGCTAGCTGCAACTCTCTCTTACCTTCTACGTGGCACCAATCCCACCTCATTTACTTCCACTTAATGGGCTGCAGTTAGAACCTTAGTTTTTCTCTTGTTAAGTGGAATGTGAATAAAATTGAGAATTGCAATTCATTGCCCAGCTCTAGTATTAAGGTTAAAGTTGTGAATGAAATGTGTGGAAAATCTGAATGAAGGGGCAAAGTAACAAAATGAATGTTGCTTACGTTATCTGTCAGTTATTTTAATATTATTTTGGTTGTTTTGTTTGCAGAGACATAGCAAAAAGGTTAATCTGAAATCAAAATCAGATAGCTCCCTGTAATGTAAGGAACAGAGGCTTATACAAACAGTTACAGAGGTTACAGAAGACGTTCACATGTAGTCTTTTGATATATTACTATGATTTTATGTAATATGTTTGCATCTTTCAGATGATTTTCTTGATAGAACAAAAACAATGGAAAAAGGTTTTTCAAAGTGCGTTACTTTCTACTTCTTGTAATTTAATCCTCTTCTATCAGCCAGTTTTTTTTAGATATGGCACAGGCCACAAAGGAACAGTTCAGATTTTTGGAGTTGGGATTCTGTTTAAATGTTATGTGCAGCAAATATCTTCCCTGTATCAGATTATGATTTTAATTTGATGCAACAACGACCGGTTTTCCAGCAAATTCATAAACAAATGAAGAATTTAACAATTCTAAAATAAAAATGTCAGAGTTTTACACACCCAAATGTTATTGAAATATTAAACCGTCATCACTTTTTTCTTATATTCTTTTTATTTTTAACCAGATAAAGCTTGGTAAAATATATGTGTATTAATAATTCCAAGTCACAAACTGTTTGACATCTAAAACCATATTTTCTGTCATTTAGGATATAATTATGAATATTTTCTTGACTCGTCAGTCTTTAATGTTTTAGATCTTTAAACAAACCTTAATATCAGAAAGTAACACCTGCATTCTTTTACAATAATAATCATGTTGTCATCCAGATGCTACTATGGGTTTCCTTAGCTAAGGCACTAATCACCCTTGGCTGTGCTGGTAAAATCTGTCCCAAAAATGTCAGGACCCTAACGACTTTCATAAGCAGTTCAATTAATTCATCATTATTTTTGTACAATATTTGTGTTTTTTCTCAAGCTAAAAAAAAATTGAGGAATATCTGTTCAATAAATTGTTACCCTATGCCTGAATGCAGTTAGGTTATTTGGCAGGACAATGATCATGACTGCACCAGCAAGTCCTCCTCTGATTTACTCAAAATAAAGGTTTTGGGGTGGCCAAGTCAAAATCTAGAGTTAAATCCAGTTGAGATGCTAGGCATGACCATAAACAGACAATTGTTAAATTAAACATCTGCAAAGAAAAGTGGGGCAAAGAGACACAAAACATGGAAACCACAATCAGACAACTGTTGCCTACAAGAATGGGATAAGGCTATCTTTGCAGGACAAATTTATTTAGTGATGAGAAATATTTAAGTTGACAAAAGGCAAAAGAAACCATGGGAGCAAATACTCTTTCTCCACAACGCATAAAAAGAAGAGAGTATCTCAACACAGCCCCACTGTCTGAAACATTTACCTTAGGATGAAACAAGAGGAAGGGTTGTTATTATCCAGTGAGTACGCAATATGTCCTTCTGCATCCAAGAGCAATTCCTTTCTTTAAGTAAAGAACAACTTCTGTTTATGGTGCGTAACTTTCAGCTCCATGATGGCTCTAACAGGTCACCTTTCACTTAAGGGCCAGTCACTTCTTTTTTGTTTACTTCTTAGGCAAAAAGTTACTGATAAACCAGATTTAATCGATATATGTTGACAGATGTGGCAAAAGCAAGCAATTCCCCGTATGTTTTGTTCCACTCTTCCAAGAAAAAAAGAAATATCACTACAAAAACAGAAAGTAGACCAGTATATTTTATTTCAACTAAATTCAGCAGGACCCGACATAGAGTGCTATTTAGTGCAGTCGTAGGAATGCAACATTCACCTTTTTATTTTTATACCCAAAATATTTATAGAGTATAAGTAATATGAGTTAAGATGAATATATTTGATAAATCTTATTTACCTCTTTTTATAATGTTTGCACTTTAATAACACATAATATTTTGCCTATTTTTACTTAAGGACTTTGTGTCCAGTGCGCTTTAATAGATCAGTCAGCAATTTTACTTTGGTTTCGTACATCAGTGCGAAATGTAGACGTACAGCATTTTTATCATTCTTGTTTATTAGCGTAAGGTTGTTTCCCCCCAACTTTTGTCAAACAGAGATTGATAAAAACGAAAGAGCTGTCACTGCGTCAACTTTTACGCGAACACACTTATGAATTCCTTTTTTTTCTCTTTTTTTTAATTAAAGATAGGTATTTGGAAAATCTATGCTGATTATTAATTATACGAGATATAAAAACGCTCAAATACCATACCTATGAATATATCGATCGAAAAAAACTGCTGTTTGCAACCTGTCCTTCCTTCCGGTTTTGTTTTTAAATGTTAGAGTGCTTCCTCCTGTCATGTCTAGACGAGCTCTCTGCGTCCGCGTGCTGCCGTTTGGCCAATCAGGAAGAAGCGGGTAACGGTCAGTGTTTGAATTGTAGTTGGAAAACAGCGGCAGATGACAGCAGACCTAGCTACGCTCGTAAATATCGCAAGCTAATTTGTGTTATCCCGAAAACAGGATTATATCAAGCTGAAAAACATGTCGAAGAAACAGATTTTCTATTCTGACAAGTACAACGACGACGAGTTCGAGTACAGGTACTCACACAGTGTCCTGTGTTGCTTTATAAGCAAGCTATTCAACGTCAAAATTAGGTCACCATTTTTGCGTTTTCTCGCTGTTTGGCTCGCATATGAATTAAAATAGTAATTAAAAATTGAAAGCAACATTTTAGAGCACTTATGTTTAAATTACGTTTGTTTATATATTGATCAACGTTTTCCTATAGATGTATCAAAACATCACATGGCAAACCTCAAATCATGTTTATCTATATATTTTTTAAACCTTAAGTGTAATGACCTGAAAATGTTTGGCTTTGGAAGTGGCATGTTAATGAGATATGTTTTTGATTACCCCCACAGGCACGTTGTGCTCCCGAAGCAGCTCTCTAAACTGGTGCCTTCCTCCCATCTGATGAAAGAAGAGGAGTGGAGGGGACTGGGGGTGCAGCAGAGTGTTGGCTGGATCCACTACATGATCCACAAACCAGGTCAGGACTGTTTGTTTTCTGAAATGTGTTAAATCTACCTCAAAGCTCACAAGGACGTGCTGCAGCCTCATAATGCAAGGTTACTGGCATTGAATTTCATTTTTATATTAATGTAATCTTCCATTAAAAGAAACAAAAAATGTAATTTTCTTACATGTATCTATCTGGATCTCAAAGGAAGCATGGGTTTTTTTTATGAGACTTTTAGAAAAATCTAAATGTGACACTGAATTCAACAACATGTGTTTTTTTGTTTTTTTTGACGAATTAATCCCTTTTAGGTAAGCTTACTTAAGCAAATAGTTTATCTTGGTTCATGTACCAAATATTTCTCTTTCAAATGTTCCTATCAAACTTATAAAACTAAGCTAAATAATCTAAACTTATTTAGGGAAACCTGAGCCATTCCAATATCTGTCCCAGTATTTCAAAGAAGCCCAAAAACTAGCGTTAGCCAGATTGACTTGTGCATCTCTGCTCGCATTCCTTATACTTTTCAGTATAAAGCTATGCTTGATCTAGCTGTGGAGATATAATATTTATATATTGGCTATTAAAACCAAATTATGTCCTAAACCCACACATTCTAGCTAAGATCTTGCAGTAGCATTCTGCTATAGGCTTTTTTTTCACCCTATATTTCTGGAAGTTATCTTCTGTAGTCGTTCCAAATCCAAAACTACATACTGGACTGCGTATGTCGGACTCTTCCAAACTATGAGGGGGAAATGATGTTACATACTACCATTAGAGTGTTCTGTAATTTTTACTATTACAGGGGTGCACGATATAATCGGCCCCCTATCGGTATCGGCCTTAAAACTGAATATCGGACATCGGCCACCCCACCGATATTTAACCCGATATTTGATCAGCTTCTGAGTTTCTAAAGTCTAAAAAAAAAAAAAAATACTACTTCTTCTTCTTCCTCAAAAACTTCTTTTTTACAGACTTTAAAACTTCTAAAGACGAGGGAAAAAATATTGATACATTAAAATATCACAATATCTTCATATGCTGATATATTGCCATTTAAAAACACCATATCAATCTCTTTTACTAATGAAATGTTGCTATATGTCATCATTATGCTACGAAATCCCCCTAAAATTCTCGAAATTTTGCCATATTTTTATATGTTGATATATTGACGCGGTATCGATCTATTTTACTAACAAAATCTCACAAGAATTTGCAAAATATCACGAGAGTTTGTAACAGAACGATGAAATTTCACGAGATTTTGAAAGTAAAATAGATCGATACCGCGTTTTTAAAAATCAATTTGATATCAGCATATAAAAATATATTTCAGTATATTATTTTTCAAAGTGTCAGAAATGGATAACAAAACTGCTATTTTCAATGACTACTTATTTTTGTCCAGCTTTAACATCAGTATCGATATCGGTTATCGACTACGTGAGTTTTAAAATATCGGCATATCGGATATCGGCCAAAATCCCAATATAGTGCATCCCTAATTTCTTCTCAGTACTTTTTTTTCGAGGGTGGGGGGAATATTCACAGGCCTTTTCTTTAAAATTAAGAGCCACAGTTCGGTTTAGTTTTATCAGGCCTTTTTAATTCCCTTAGTAGAAATGTTGAGAATAAAGTCAAAATATAGTATCGAGAATAAAGTCCAACTGTCAATTTAAAGCTCAATTTCAGAGAATGTAGGGCAAATGTCACCATTTTGAAATAATTTTTAAACTTGTTTTATTGAAAGTTTGACTTTATTCTCAATACTATATTACGTCTTTATTCTTGACATTTCAAGTTTACTAACTTGGTGAGGAAGGTTTTGTGGAGGATTTTAGCTAATTTTTTAAAAGACCCACCCTCTCCACTTTAAAAAAATGCGCCTGCACAACCCTGTACCTGCTCCTGAGAGGGAATGCCTATTATAGGCGTGCAAGAGCATGCGCAAGTCCATTTCTCCTCGTGCACGCTCTGTTTAAAAGTTGCTGTTCTCATAGATCATACAGGCTTACTGTGTCCGAACGTCCACCCTAAATCCCTCAATCAATATATAGATCAGGGACTATATAGTGGACTTTATAGTGAACTCTGTAACCTTACCTTTTGGACAGATGATCACTACTTTTTTCTCCCCATTGGTCACGTAACTCCTCCTCCACCATGCAGTGTCTGCGCCATCTTTGTTATTATACGCTGCTGTAGGGTAGTAAGGCATCTTCTGAGGCCTTTCTTTTCTTCTCATACACTTCGTAGACACTTTTTCTCTTACAACCCTCGGCCATTTTCACCAGAACCACAGTGAAAAGGGCGAGCTTCAATGACTGTCTGGAAGCGTAGTTCACCACAGATATATGTCTGAAAGTGCGCATGTGCAGAAAAAATATAGCTAACCGGGAATGAGCACATAGGACGACCTTACGTAAATGTATCACCAGAATGATTGACAATTAGGAGGACCACTTATTTAGATGATCCACCCGGAAATAAAAGATTGTCCTCTTTTACCTTTAAAAGACTCATGAAGATGGACATTTTTTCTTTGTAACTTTATATGAATAAATATTTGATCCTTTTTCTAGACAATATTAATCCAACACAAACAAAGGTTTGTGTTGGATTAATAACACAAAAACATTGGTTGAAAACATTTTCTGTGTGTGTGGGGGTGGCGTAGTGGTTAGCCATCAGGACAAATCCCTTCCTTTGTAGTCAGAAACGTTTTTTTACACAAACAGGAAAACATCAATATATTCTGTAACATGAGCATCAATGAGCCTTATGTCTAGCTTTGTAAAGACAAACCAGAACAGTCTGCAAGTATTCTGCTTTCAAATGATGCTGATGTTTCCATCTTCTCTTGCTTTGCTCTGCAGAACCACACATACTCCTTTTCAGAAGGCCTCTTCCTAAGGAATGAACAGAAACCGTCCTCCCGCCTTGTAGCTCATCTTTATTGGCATTCAGCTGGACATCTCTTCTACATTTACATCTTTATATGTGTTATAGTGTTTTGTGAGGAAAATCTTTTTTTCTTTAAAATTTCCTGTCGTTTTGTTGTTGTTTTTTTTCTATTGCTTGTAATAAAAAGCAAGCACCTTTTGTTCACTGTGAATAGAACCTTGTATATGGTATATTATGAAGGGGAATGTTTACTTGTCATTTTTTCACTTTAAACATTTTTTCCCCCTTGGGCTTTGGAATTGGTATATGTACTGAGGGGATTTTCTGTTAAACATTTGTTTGCATCATAAGAATTTATTATTATATGTTTGAAATGTTGCCAGCAAATACCTTGTTATGTGAAGAACAAAATAAAAAGTTCAATGTAATGTAGAGTTGCTGTTTTGCAATTTCTTTGACTATTTTAATGTCAGTCAGAAAAAGCAACCACTAATGGCGTGACGAATTCAGAGTGTCTGACGCCCATTGAGTATGCAGGTGCTTTGGTCTTGTGAGCTGTGACGTTCTCAGGATTATAAGCCCCTGGACCAGGTTTTTTGCTCTTGTCTTTTGGTAAGTTTTGACGCCCAAGCATGGAAAACGCAGGCTGCCGACGCAGATAAACACTTGGGTCCGTACTGTTGTATCTGCAGGGTCCAGGGGTCTTTGCTAGATCAACAGAAGGTCCCCCGATGCTGAAAGCACCTGGGATGGTGTAACTTGCGCTGGCTCTCTTGTTGGGGATATGAGAGCCGATGAGTGGGGGCAGGCTGTACTTGTTGGGAGCAGGGACTGGATCTGCACTGCGGTAGCGGGTGCGAGAGCCCATGGTGTAGCATGGAGGTCTGCGCTGCAGGTTGCAAGGTGGTGCTTTCTCAGGACTGTATGCACCAGGTCCAGGTGTGCTGAATAACTCTTCTACTGATCACAGCAGATTAAAATATGAGGACAGAAACATTAATAATGGTGTTGGTCATACAGTTCAGAGGAAACCAATTACACTTTAAATCCAGAAAGGTCTAAATAAAAACAAAAATAATGTTGAAAATGTAGATGTATGCATAAAAAAAGGAGCAAAAACTTACTTTGTGCTTTTATTCTTGTCCTCATTGAATATGCAGGTGTGCCATCCTTTCCAAAGCGGGTCATTTTTGCATCAACATTATATAGAGGTCCAGGACTGGAGTCAACAGAAAGCACTGGAATATAATACATTTAAGGCTGGTTTAATGTGGTGAGCTATAGAATTATCAAGTTTTGTCTCCCCCTAGTGTTACAGACTAAGCATCACATCACAATGAAATTCTATTTGCCATTCTGGATGCCCTTTGGAAGATGAAATTATTGTTAAAAACGTGGTGGTACTAGAATCATCTAAATATGTTTCTCAGATCAACTTAAAGATAATATATCATATATATATATCATTAGTATCAAATGTCCAAAATCCTTTTGGATGACTTTTTTAAGATCGAGCTCATTCAGATTGGATGGAGAGTGTCAGTAAAAAGCAAATAAAATAGCTCTGCATCATGATGGTGCCACCACCATGTTTTACATATACAATGTTAGTTTTCAGTTAAACTTGCCCTTTTTTTCAAATAGGCAGAAAAGTTACACTTTGACATTTAGTTTGATAGGAGCACCTTCCACATGGTTCCTGTATCTTGGCTTTCTTTCAAAAACCTGCCTCTGTTAGATTTTCACCAAGATCCAGTTGTAGTATACTCCTTTGAATAATGGATTTTAATGTGATCTGTGAGATTATCAGTGACTGGGATATTGTTTTGTACTTTGCTGCATGTAACATAACGATACTGTAATGGTTGCCCTGGATTTCATTCAGAACCGCCAGACTTAAAGGATTCCTAATAATGCATACAGACTTTAGATGTTTTATTATATGAACTGTTTTCTAAGCTGTGAATCATGTTCCTTCATCTTAAACTACAATCTACTTCTTTGTGTTTACCCATCCAAGTGAAAAATACATTATCATGATGTAACTTACTGCTATTATTAACCCTGCCATGGAAAGAGTAGGCTGGACAGGCTGGTTTTGTGAAGTCATGCCCAATAAATCCAATGGTGGGAGGGAGTCTATAGCGCCCGGGTCCTGGTCCTGGAGACAGGTGACATAAGAATTTGCTCATGCATGACCTCACATAGTCTTTGTGTACTGCACAGTATAAACATTAAAATACACAGACATAAATAAAAACTGCAACCAGTATCTTATTACACAACATGTGGGGTGGGGTGGAAGCAACCACTTTACGAGATAAGCACATTTATAACTTTTTTTTTCTTTTCACCTTTAACATATTTAATGATTGACTCTCAGAGCCAATTCTTGTCGAGCAATTGCCCTAAAATCAAACTGAGCCATCAAGTTTCCCAGGCCAGTTCTACAGATGAACATGTAAACAACCTATAGAAATGATCCGGTATCAGCATCCAAGTGTTCAGCATTATGTGCGCTCTAGAGCAGCAGGTTTCACAGAACTCAGCGAGTCCTGGCAGGTGGGCAGACTTTTAATATTCTCCTTTATCCATTTAGTCAAGTAAACAAAAGTTGCTACAAGATTAACGGCTAATGTTTATACCCAACACCTCAATTAACACTATATTAATCAGTAACAAGAATGCAATATATTATTTCAGTTGTGCACTCACCTCTCTCTTTCCCTGCAATGGCTGGGTGTTTGTTCTCCATTGGGCATGGGATTGTGATGAAATATTTCAGGATTTCAAACAGTAATCAGCACTACAGAGAAATTTACATGACATGTCAACTATATGGATTTGGGAAATATGTAAAATAAATAAGAAACAACTAAAAAGCAAGAAAACCACCTCAGTGAAGTTCAAATCCTCATGTCAGCCAAGATAAAGCAGGATATGCGTCAGAGTTGCATCATTCTCCCTTTTCTATCCCACCATGTTGGATTGCCCTTTAGCGACCATCCAGGATTAATCCCTAATTTCCTGTGACCCGAAATGTCAACACCACCCCGGACTAACTCAAGTTTTATCCCGCTGTCAGTTTCCCCTTTTGTCTCACAGACAGGTGAATAGCCTCTCTTCAAAAAGGGGTGGTCATATATAGGAGCAGTGAGCTGCTACTTAGAAACAATGTCATCACTCTGATTCACTCTCATGTAATGGTAGATGTCCCCTGCAAAGCATGAAACCAAGATCCCCGTCTGTCCCTTCCTTCTTTCACTCTTTCTGCTCATTGGAGAATGGACACGCAACATCACTCTTCAGCCAGGCATGCAGTTTCCCCAGAGACTGTAATGGGTAGCTTGTTGCAGTCAGCCCCCCTGCAGTGTTGGCCGCTTGCCTCAGTAGGAGCCATTTCTTTTAGCTTTTATTAGATGGTTTGCTTAATCCAACATCAGACATATGCAAATTGGTGTATTAGACATGCACACTTGCATGATGAACCAGAAGCATCTAGGTTCATCTTAAGCTATTGGTTATACTGTCTTATTTGAAGCGGCTACATGCTAGCCCTTGTCTCTAATCCTAGTGACGGAGGACTGATCAGCAGTCTGCTGGAGGTCAAGGTAACAGAAGGGACCATGAAGTGACAAGTGCAATGGCAAAACATTAAACTTTAACAATCTTTAACTCTCTCCCACCTGTTACTTTGGAAACCAAACCAAATATGATGTTCATCCAGATTTAGAGGTAAACAGTTCCGCTCAAAAGTTTAGATATGCTCATTATTGTCTTAGATGACATTCATTTATGTAACTTGTTTTCTAAATACACAAATTTACAAATGGGATGAATGAAAATCAACTTTGTGATTACTTATCAGTAATTTAGCAAAATTAAAAATGTATTATAAATCATTTCTGCAGCTATTTTTTGCCCCTCCTCCCTATATTTAATGTGTGATTAGGACTAAGGCCATTCATAAAAAGGAGATACCTGAGAAAAATAAGTTTATGGCAATCTGAAAAAAACAAACACAAAAAAACAGAAGCCAAATTGGTCCATTAAGCTATCAGCATTAAGGATATTCATGCAGCTTAACGTTAGCCTCCTTTATCTATTTTTAAAAACGCGTTGTGTTTGGGCTCGTTGTTCATGTTTCAAACATCTGACAAATGGTCAGACTGCTTAGGACTTTCGAAGACAGCCTGGTAATCACCTAGAATCAATCCTAGATGCTATAACACCAGTATCCCTCTCCACAAGCAAGACAATTTGACGATAATTTGGACTGAGATGGAGCAGGTCAGGAGAGATGTCTGTGCTGTAAAATGAACAGCTTAGATTTTAATGAAATTTGCAGAACCTAATAGATCCTTACGCTCTGGAGAAAGCTTTAAAGAGGTAAAAGAATGCAAAACCGAGTTTACATTGTCATAGATGAAAAAAGATTGTTCAGTGGGTGAAATAGACGTACAGAGAAGTTCAAATCCCATCGACACCTTCTTTCTCTGCAAATTCATGCTCACATTTCTAAACTTCCACCATAAAACCGACAAATTCAATTTGGGGATGTTGCCTTATTTGGTTCTGGCCTGTAGTTTTTTCACGCCCCAAAATTGACATACAGACCAGCCCACTGGTTCACTGGCACAAGAACATGAATAGAGCTAGATGTAAGACACCAGTTTAGCTGTTTAGCCTACAGTTGGGTTTACTTCTACAAGAAATACAAAGCAGGCAGTTTCTCTGTTGAAAATGAGTAGGAACCACAGGCGTAAATGCAGTGTTCCAGGCTGCACGGAGAAAGGGGAAAATTTTCACAGTCTTCCCAAGGATCCGAAGATTCGACATGCATGGATTATTTTTGTGTTTCAGAAGATCCCTGCAAAGTTTGATGCTCAGCTGTTCATTTGCTCTAAGCCAAGGGTCTCAAATTGTCTCCAGAAAGCACTGTGTGGCTGCAGGTTTTCTTTTCAACCAAGAAATTGGTTGAAAAGAAAACCTGCAGCCACATGGCCATTTCTGGAACAGATTTGAGACCCCTGCATCTAAGCTTTTTACCGAACACAGCTTTCAAAATCTTGGACAGTTCCAAGCAGGATTTGCTAAACTTCTTTTACTGAAACGAGGGGCTGTAAGGCAATCACATCCGCAAGCTGTGAGTATTATTTTGTCGCTAAGCATTTGGGTTTCTGAAAAGGAGGACACTTTTTTTTTTTTTTTTTTCGGGGCGATTTTGAAATTCCCCTCAGACGTTTTTTTAGGTACGAAAAGTAGGATATGTCCCGGAAAACGAGGACGTCTGGTCACCCTACCATATCAACAATTTGATGTTTCAGTGAGTGAGTGCTTGTTGCTGTGACGCGTCTTGCTCAGCAGCTTTGCTCGTTGTAAACCAACCAATCAGCGCACAGCTCATCTAAATATTCATGAGCATACCATAATAGGAAGAAAACCAATATTACACACCCTATTCAGAGACCTTAAGGACCAGCACCAAATACCAAATATAATCATTATATGACCCCTTTAATAGACAGGTGATTGTTTTCAGTAACTAGAGAGAGACAAAAAAAAAAAAGAGTAAAAAATGGACCATGTACTTAATGCCAAGCATGGTGGTGGTAGCATCATGATAGGGGTCTGTTTTATTGCCATATTTGTTGTTTAAGCAACGTGGATAGAATCATAGAGACTAAATTTTGGAAGCAATAAAGTGACAAATATTAAGCGTCCGATCCACCCCCACCCTGGGTTTTCTTTTAAAACCAGACACAAGCTAAGAAAACATTTAGTTTATATTCACTTTATAAGAAGTGTTGGGACAATGCTGGAATGCTTGTTTGTAGCATTTGAAAGTAAACATGGAAAAGTTCCAATTTTTCCCAAAGGGTCAAAGACAAACATTAACATGTTCCTTAGCAGGGCCTAAAGATAAGCTGTTCAAATGACCTATTTTGGGTAACCATCTAATTGATTTAATTTAAAGACAAAAGACTGGTTTGTGTATAAACTTTATTCTCATTTGTTTTATAAACAATGTTTGATATAAATCAGGATTACATTTGGTCAAATTTGGCACATTTACATCAATGGATTTCCTTAACATCACTTGCGTGAACATAAAAACAAAATAGCTTATAAACTGTACAATCAAATTTGCTGGTATGTAAGGTGAATGGTGAGCAGATGATGGTTGAGTAGTTTCAGAGACAGATGCAGAGACCTTACATTTCTCTCTCTGCTCATTACCCTCCAATCTCTTTGAAGTGGTACAGTGAATAAAAAAAATGAAGAAAATGTCTGACGATGAAAAAGAACTTCAGCTTATGTTTCTGTAAAGCATACGATTAGCATGTCTTTCTTCAGCAGCAAACCAGCACAGTCGTTTTAAGTAGACCTTTCAGTTATTGGTGTTTAAGCCAAAAAGTGCTTTGAATGAGCACATCAAGAACTACAATGGGGAAAATGTAGTCTGTGTGGGCAGGCCTTGACTTAAAAAAAAAGAAAGAAAAATATTTCTAGCTACAAATAAATACCACAGATAGAAAATATAATAAAAATATATTGCTTAACATTGAGTGTAATTACAAATATAAAAAAAAATTGCTTGTCTGTTTTTTTTTCTAGTGATTATAAAAGCAGCAAACTGGATTAAGATGCTATGGTGTCTACTGATGAGTCTACAGGAAGCAAATGAACTAGAGGATTTGAGCTTCAAAATCTTTCTCCTTCACTTCCTACCACGCACAAAAAACAGACATACACAATAAAAGCATCCACTCCAACTCAATTCACCAAACAACTAAAAAAAGTTGTTTCCAAACCGCACCGATTTTTTGTTGAAGCAAGTCTGCAAACTCTCTGTTTTCTTTCCATTCACAAGCATATTCACAAATATGGTACAATTTTGGGGTGGCCATATGGTTTCACTTTACATTTCTGTGGACGACAAGAAAGAAGGGACAGACTTTAGTGTTGAGAGAATCGCTGAAGGGCGAAACACTACAGGTGTTACAATTTCAAATTTACAAACCCACGTACCATCGCTCAGGGGTGCTCTTTGTGTCAGCCGTGGGCAGCTGGCTGTTAGCTGGTAGGGGCACGTTATGCTGCACAACACCACCACCTTCAGGTATGTCGGAATGGTCCCCTCCCTCTGCATCAGCAAGGAAAGCCCCAGAATCTGAGTCATATTCATAGGAGTAGTAGGACACCTCTGTCATCATGGAGCCCTGTTCCTCTTCACCTGGAGGGGAGGGGGGAAAGACTCATTTAATCAAATGAAAGCTGGTGAAAGTTCAATGCATGGTGGGTGTAATATCCCCTTTGTTAGGACTACCTGACTATTATTTTGTACATATCGGCCCATGATCATGGGATTTTAAAGGAGAATTCCGGTTTTTAACACTTTTAGCCCATTTTCTGTAGTGTCCAGGATGAAATCGAATGATCGACACCAAAATTTTGACAATTGGTCCTGTCTCTGCTTTTTGGCTCATGCAGAATCCCCCCCTGGCTGCTTCAGAATGGCTTCCATTGTGCATGTCCGATAATGTCCTTAAAACAACCTTAAACGTTCTTTTTTTAAAATATGCTACTCACCGGGTCGTCAGCGCTGTTCAATGACGTTCCAAAAAAGTTTTGTTGAGGAAAAACGTTTCTTTTGTTTTTTTTTTTGGCTTTTTTTAATTCCCGGACTTTTTTTTTCCGATACATCACAACCGCTTATAAACTTCCGCTTCCCGTTCGAATCTGAAGCGTTGCACACTCCAGACCACTAGTTGGCGACGGTATCCTCTACCGTCAAACTCAAAGTCCAATATGTCCTCCTCAAGAATCCACCTTTCGTATTCCATTTTCAGAGTTTTTTAAAGTGTTTAACAGAGACGTTAGCACCTCGACGTCGGAGTACACAGAGTGAAGCATAAACACTTGGGCCTTGCGAAAAGACTACAACTAAGTGTAAACAGGCCCCCTTTCCGTTTCCGGTGGCGGAGGGATATTGACTATTCCAACAGAACTCAATGGGATTTACAAAACGCTAAATAAAACACTACAGGAACGTTTTTTCTTTACGAAACTTTTTTTGGAACGTCATTGAACAGCGCTGACGACCCGGTGAGTAGCATATTTTAAAAAAAGAACGTTTAAGGTTGTTTTAAGGACATTATCGGACATGCACTATGGAAGCCATTCTGAAGCAGCCAGGGGGGGATTCTGCATGAGCCAAAAGCAGAGACAGGACCAATTGTCAAAATTTTGGTGTCGATCATTCGATTTCATCCTGGACACTACAGAAAATGGGCTAAAAGTGTTAAAAACCGGAATTCTCCTTTAATGTTGTCAATGGTTACATTGACAATGTCGTAGCATTGTAGTGTATAACAGTGCAGTAAGCTACTGCTAAAAGTACTGAGGTTTACTTTCAATAAAAAAGGCTTCACGTTGTCAAAGAGTGTCACGTGAGTGCATGGATCATCTCCTACTGACAAATCTGCCAGAGAGTCATGTTTTTCAACAAAACAGTAAGGTCAAGACCTAGAAGGACAGAAAAAAGCAACCTTCATGCCTCTTTAAAAAAAAAAAAAAAAAAAAAGCAAAAAAAAATCAAGGAGGGACTCACCATCTGCAGGAAATACAGAGATTGGTATAGGGATATTTTTATTTATTTATTTCCTATTGTTTAGAGTAGCAGCCAAACTGAATCAAAGACTAGGCTAAAACTACTGTTTGTGCAAAAAAGAATGGAAATTAAAAAAATAAACATTTTTTTGTACCCTGCATGTGACAACTTCATAAGTTGGAGTACACAACACTCGCCAGTTGGGGGCAACCTTCATTCAAATGTTACATAGTCAGACCATAACTGCAAATTTAAATTTTTTTTTTTTCCTTTGGAAAAGAGGCATTATATTTTCATAAATATAAATGGAACAAACTGAACAATAACATTAGAACTAGTACTAAAAAAAATTGGTTTGATGATAGACTTAGAGCAGTTGAAATGAAGTCTTCAAGCCTGTGTCTGTATCTATGTGTCGACCGCTGCAGCAGGTTCACTAATAAGACAAGTCTGCACACGGAAGCTAATTCCAGAGCTTCAGCTTCCTTTAGTGTCTCTCATTTCCTTGGCTGAACTTATCTTTACCTTTTACATTCTTGATGCACTCTGCAGGGAACATTGTCTGTATTTGAGTGCTTTACAGTACCAGGGATTTTAATGTTTTTTTAAATAATAATCCTACATTGTTACTTTAGCTGAATGCTTGTGTTGGCATGGCTCAAAACTACATAAAACACATTGAACATTAATTAATCTGGTGCATATTTCCTTTTGCTTGCAAGAAACAGGCGTACACCTGCATGCAGAGACATCTGTGTGAGTGTGAGGAATTGCATTCTTGTGTCGAAAGTGAAGCATTTAGCTTTTGTACTAAGGGAGACCTTTGACGAGGAGCGGCTTTGTGAGGAGCAGCTACTGGGAGTTACAAGCTGGGAAGCAAGTCAGAGCAGGTCACACCACATCAAACATGCATGCACACGCACACACCTGGATACCACTCAGAGACAGCAGCCAGGTTTTAATGTTATATGCTAAAATGATATGACATTACAGGGTTAGGACATGACACTTGAACAGTTTGTATTTTTCTGCTTGCATTGCATACAGAAACACAGTTATATCTACCTTAGGACAGAGCCAAACTTCCCATCAGGAATCCCCTGGCAGCCTCTTAGGAAGAGGCTACGCTCCTGACAGCAGCAAGCAAGCCTGCTGCGTGAAACTTATCCTCCCATTCATCACACTGATTGTAGACATGATGTGGTGGTAGGTGAATGTGCTGCCACACACCTGGTTAATCTTACTTCCCTTACCCCTTTTCTCTTTTTTCTCTTGTTTAGTTCTCATTTTTCATTCAACATTTTGTTCAATTTCATTCAACGTGTTGTTTTGTTTGCTTACAATAACTTAGCTCTGCTTTAAACCTCTACACAAAGTCATTCATGTTGCTTTGTTTTCATGATGAAGTATTTATGAAACAGTTGGACATGTACTGTTTACTAATTCTCCTGGTCTAAAAGACTGGATTGGATTTTTATTTGTAAATGAAAACATATTTTTTCTTCCACATCATAGCAGGAAAAGTGTTTCCTTCTAGCTGATTTTGCATGTTAAATGCCAGAAATATGCTGTAAAGGTTAAGGACATTTATGTGACATAACACGTGGGGACTGATAAATAATTTTTGCAAAAGGAGACTAACGGCGCTGTTTGGAAAACACAGCGGCTGATTGTTTTGAGCATGCATTTGTATAAACAGGTGACAACTGAGCATAAATTGTATGGGAAAGCTGTGGTAGATGTGGTTACCTGCATGTATGGGCACTGAAGGTTGTTCGATTTCCTGGCTTGCCTCTGGCTGACTTTTTTCAATGGTTTTATCTGTAGAAACACACACGGATGGAGATTATATTACCATAATTGTGACTTATAGATTTTTCCCAAAATAAAGAATGAATGTGTAACACTAGCTTCATCTACTGCCCAGGAGCATCACTTCATACTGATAAACAGTGATATCTACTTAGTTCTAACAACGTTTTATGTTTAAAAAAATCTGTCGGGGCCATGTGGGGAAACAATCACTGCCTCCCTTTCTTTCCTCAAAATGAAGAATCCGTGAAACAAATCTGCCGCTATTGAAGCATAAACAAACAAACAAGGCCAGGATGTGCTTCAGTCCTTTTGATCATTTACAGCATGAAACACTTGGCACAAACTCAGGACTTTTCCCATCAAAGTTTTGTCTATGCCTTTTCCTCAATCTGCACCACAACATGAAGGCCCCTTTGTTGTTGGGCTGTGCGTCGGAAAGGAATGTGACGAGGATTTCTGAAGCAGGACAAAAGCACTCTGTCATTTGGAGAGAGCCCTGTAATACGACAGAGAGTAAGCGAGGGCTCGGGGGGTTGGGTAGGACTTTTTTTTATTATCCCTGAGGACTCATCCAGTAATCGGCTCAGCACCTGAACAGCTGTTTCCTGAGCTCAGATTGAGGTTCAGATACACTTGCAGATATTGACAGAGTAAGACTAAGTTATACAGCAACCTAATAAGCTGCAATACAGCATATACATATACACAGCAACAGGCAAAAGCTGAGTCTTCCATTCCATTTAACTTGGTATGTTAAGATAAGTACAAAACAATTTCAAGATCCTGTTTAAGTGTGTGTATACATTAGCAGTCTCAGACGGACTAAATATGCAAGCTACAAAAAAAGCATTCATGCTCTTTGAATGTTTTGATACTTAATACTATATTACAAATATTATTTGTAATATAATAATATATATAATATAAAAATTCATCTCATAAACCAAAGTAGTGTATATTTATAAAGCCGAAGGAAATAGTTTAGGTCACAATAACTTTAGAGAATCTTTCTCTGCAAGCTCAGATTTTTCTCTGAATGTCTTAGTCACGTAAACTTACATCAAATCTGTTTGGGTAAAGTCATCAATTCAAAACCATTATAACAGACAGAAAGATTTGACCTTAACTATGGTAGCTCTGGATGTATATTTTGGGTTGTTCTGCTGGAGAAGATGAACACCAAACATACGGCCTTGAGTGATTTCTTAAAATGTTGGAATGTCTTCCTGGATTTCATTCTCAGTAGATTGTCTTTTGTTATAAGCAGTTTATTTTTGGTCTCATCTGACCCAAGTGGCTTCCATTGAATTACTGCTGTATCTCCATGGTTTGTGACAAACAGCTAACTAAAAATGTAGTAGCTTTCTTTGAACAATGACATTGATTTCACTATTTCCCAAAGGCAAGATTTATAGAATGAGAAACACAGAGAATCCTGCCATCCCCACTGGAACTAACATATTTCTTTGGCTGGCATTTCAATTTCTGTGGACATCATGTCTTAGAAAGTTTACTGTTCTGTAATTCTCTTATTTTTTCAAATGATGACCTCTGAGGCTTCATACGACAAGTGGAGGCTAATGAGTTATATGCCCAACTCCAATATTTCCTCAACTTCAGCCAGCTCCTTTGTTTCCTGTCTTTCATTACTAGACAGACTGATTAATCCAGGTGTGTCTGGCCAATGTTGTCATGGTTACTGAGGCCAGACACACCTGGATTAATCAGTCTGTCTAGTAATGAAAGGCAGGAAACAAAGGAGCTGGCTGAAGTTCAGGAAATAGGGGAGTTGGGCATTTTTCTCCGAGGAATCCTATTCTAATCAGGATGACTTTAACATATTGGGCATTTTTATCTCGGTTTTAATTCTTCAGATGTATTTTTTTTCTTGTTCCTGTGACTCAACCCTCTTTGATCTTAAGCCATCTTTTTTTATCCTTAATAGTTAAGATAAAGTACAATTTTTAATCCTACTTGTGTTCTCGCTGATTAGAAAATATATTACTAACTGGTAGTATCTCAAATGCTAAGCTCTTTTACTTGTAATAATATATATGCTTGAAAGGGGACAATTGAAAGGTCTATATGAATAAACTTTGAGCACTTACTATGAAAACATTGGGACAGGTGAACTTGTTTGATGCGAGTCCCATTTCGACAAGACGATACCTCCATCTGACACTGGTTCTGGTAGAGCTGCCCATCTGATCCACAAACAGGCTCCCCATCATAGCCACAGTCCCTGTAACACGTGCATCGTTCCATTTGCTCCTCCTCCACGCAGCCTAACACATTGTTGCACTGGTTTGCCTGCACAAAACCTAAAAGACATGGTTCTCAATAGGTGACTTATTGATAACTGATTTTTGTGGAGACCATTGTATATTTGTGACATTTCCTACCTGTCCAATGATTTGTTGAACTCTCCACTTCATTACAAGTGGGTCCATCACACAGCTCCCGTGCAAGTGGACTGCTCTCACTAACATTGTAGAACCTGGTGGCCTCAAAAGCTGCAGGACAAGCACAAAGCATCCCCACATATGCTGCTTGTGAAAACTTCTAATTGCAGAACATATTTCATTTTTCTTAGCGCAGAGTAAAAAATAACTTAAGCCAATAGTTTACGCTGCATAGAGAAAATCGGAAGCATACCTGGTTCATAGTAGTCATAGATCTTGACCGGAACAGGCGCCATCTTGCCTACGATGTATTCTCTGATAGCTTGGAAGGCCACACATGTCATACACTGACTGGAAATCTATGACAAAAAGTGGCTCAAGTACATATGAGCACAGCTGTAAAAAAACATCTGGAATCTCACAATACAAAATGTTAATCAAACATCTGAACCATCTACAACCTTGATTTTACAAACCTCATCAAAGTAGAATAAGACTTTCCTGCCGTTCACCTCGTATCTCTTTAGCCCAACTCTTTTATCCATCATCAGCTATGGAGAGACAGGAAATAAGGTCAAACGTGGGGCTCCTATGCATTTCTGAGTGAAAAACCCTGGTCATTTTGGCATAAAGTGTATCTATATAAACTATTTGTGAACTGAAGGATAATTGTAATGTACTTTTTTATAGAATACCTTCAAATAAGGTAAATATAAGGCACATTTGTAACATTTTGCTCAATTGTAACTTACAGGGGGAAGAATCTGACTATTCTCTCCACAATCTCTAAACCTTTTCCATACTGTCTTTATTGCAATCTACCCCATTATTGTGTTCATGTGATCACATTTTTTGGATTATGAGCTCATCTAGTGAAAAACTTATAGACCGTGTTTGTAAAAAGGAGTGCTACTCTAGGTCATTCATCCCAGCTGCCATCAGACTTTACAATGTGGCACTATAACTGCAATAACTTGTGCAATAGCTAATGTGCAATAACTATTAAATACCCTATGCAATAAAATGTTTATATTTAAGTGAAATGACTATATATATAAATACATATTTACATAAACACCAATTTAACACCCTGTGCAATAACCCTTTGTAATAATCCTGTTAAATAAGAGACTTCAACTGTTATGTATATATATATATATATATATATATATATATATATATATATATATATATATATATATATATGTGGATGCACTGTTTAACTGTATATACTATATATACCCTGTGCACCTTTTCCTCCTTTTGTTACCGTCTTTTTGACTATTGAGCTGATGCAAAGAGTAAATTTCTCCACTGTGAGATCAATAAAATCAATCAGTCAATCAATCAATTATCCTTTTTCTGTCAAAGCTCAACAGATTTTTATTTAAGGTCTTCAAATACTTGAAAGAGCACCGTGATGCAATTATCTGAGTTTTATCAAGCTCTTCAAAAGTGAGACAGGCTATAGCATCATGGAGCTGCCATCATTTATAATAATAATAAGGTATAATTTTTTCATATTCATGCTTTGTCATAGAGCATCCTGTTTAGATCCTGATAGAGTTGTGCATATGTTACATGTTTGGCTCCCCTGCAGTTTTTAAATCAAAGTGTTAAGACATGAAAACTTTCAAAAATGTATAATTATAAATAAGGGGATATTTATAATTATAAATGAAGTGATCAGCACCACAGTGAACTGGACAGCTCCATCTCACCCTAACTCTTGTGCTTCTTCTCACAAAGAAGTAAATGTATTTTGATTCAATATATTTTATATTAATTCATTTTTTTTTAAATATATTATTCAATATATATTATATTAACAACCAAACCTTTCAGAACTTCCTTTTGCATCTGGATATCAAATAAACATGTAATCAAGAAGCGCCTATTCTGCAAAATCCTGCAACTGTACAGAAAAGCACTTTAACTTCTGTACCTCTCAAGGTCAACACGTTTCATCATTACATCACCTTTTTGTCGGAGTCATGATCTGCAGTTTCTAGGTGGGAAACAACAAAAAAGCGACTGCAGGCACTCTGCTTAGAAAATGACAGCTAACTGAAAAGAGGAATGAGAACACTAATGTGAATCTGTAGGAAAATAAAACCCCCATAGGCTGAATTCCCCCCCCCAAGGGAACTTTCAATACGTCAAAGGCTTCAGTCTTGGGGCAGTAGGGGGTTTATGAGGTGCTCACCTGGAGCTGGCGCCACAGAGACACTCATACGTTGACACACCAAGGCTCAATTAGTCTCTAAAAAGCATTGTTTTTCTATACAGTAATGCACGCTGCTCATGAAATTCCTCTGCACAAACAGCTACCCCCACAGCGTCCTCAGAGCAGCTATCGCAGCTCATTATATTGGGGTGACAGGGGCTCTCTCTAGTTACCGGACTAATCATTTATGTCCTCAGCATCTATGAAAGCAACAGGAGGAGGCCAAACTGAAGCCACGGTTGCCACTGTAAACTTGAGGAATGTGAACGGTAGTCAGGCAGGCAGCAGTAAAAACCCAAGGGAAGCCAGCAGGGGGTTAAACTCAAGCTTGTTAGGCACCACATCTCAGGTCAGCCTCCAGTGACATACTGACAGCGGACTGTGTGTGTGTGTATGTGCAAATGTTTTACATTGCTCCAAGTAGCCACAGAGGTGGCTCTGTAGTAATAGAAGCCTGCAGACTGAGGCCCTATTACAGCCCAGTAATGAGGGACATGCTTTTGATGGGTGACTGGGGAGCTGACCTGGATTCAGCCCCAAAAGTTACTTCATGCTAACCGCCACCTTTATAATTACGGACATTCCCCAATATACCAATGCAACCAATGTCTAATAATGCTTTATTTTACTCCTTCCACATCTCATAAAAACATATTTTAAAAAGTTACTGCTTCCAGCTAGATTTTGATTTGATTTTCCTTCTTCACAATAAAATCACCATGCGATTCATTTGCTAAATGTATGTGCAGTGTATATGCACATATATATATATATATATATATATATATA